ACAAGTGCTGTGGTACTTAACTTGGAGGCCCTTGTCACAATTAAGTCCGATTTCCTCTGTCATTTTTCTCTACCTTAAACCCATCTGAGAGCCTCAACATTTATCTTGGGACTTTTAGTAGTGTGGGAGCCCGAGTAGTAGACCACCCAGATCTTTACTACATAATTATCTAAAGAAGTTAAAAATAGCTCCAACATTAGAGGCCAACATACTGATGGCTTAAGTATTATCGGATACAAATGACACATCAGGAACAGTTGGCTTATCTTAGCCAAAAAAAATATGATCTTTTCATTGAGCCACAATTTTTTCTGTAAAAAGGTATTTGGAATACTGGAATTGGTCATTTTAACTTTAAAGGGACCATCCATGAAAAATGCACTTTTGTACGTGTCTTTTTATACAATGATTATTAATTGTGTCCCGCCGGTGTCCGAGGTAACTCACCAAGTGGTTCAGAAAACACAACCCTCTCTCTTTTCCGCCATACCCAAATCTCTAAAAAGGGGCTGCAACGGAATCTGCATACAGCAACGGATCTGATACTGACTGATCCAGATTTGACACTGTCCTGACGTCAGGACGGTGGCGCTACGGCTATTGGTCAATTTTCCACCTATCAGGGAATGTGGGGTTGGGCCACGGCCGGCCATTGCTGCTCGAAAGCGCTGGAGACGATGTAGTGCATATGCCAGGCCTGTAAGTGGCGCTGTAGTCTGCCACAAAGCAGCGAAGAAGACTTCCCTTGCATGGTTGCCATGGTTGCCCTTCTGTTTATTCTCCGCTGTGGCTCTTTTTCTCCCTCCCCGAGGCAAGCGTTTGCGCCTCCTGCTTTAAAACAAATGAATAATGACTCTATATAATCATATGTAAGGGATAATGTGCAGCGACGCGGTCATTATGGGGAAAAGAGCACCAACAGGCTGATCAGGAGCCCGACGCAAAGCGGAGGGATCTAGATCGCCCATAATGACCAAGTCGCTGCACATTATCCTGCTTATTACATGGCCACATTCTCAACAAAGTAACGACATGACTCCCAATATTAATTGAAATGCTTTTATGGATTTAGAAAATGATTTTATTGATTTAAAAAATAGTTTTATGTATTGATTTAAATTGACATGCATCCGCTACGAAAAATAGTCCGTTGTTACTGTTTTGAACTATTGAACGTAGCAATGGCAGGAACTGCTTCAATAGTGTTTTTGAGGAGCTTTTTGATTACAGATTTGAAAACATTGTTGCTTGCTTTAAAAGTAGCACAATTCATTATGTCAAACCTTGGAAAGTATCTAGATATCCCTGCCCTAATGCCAAAGTAACTGCCAACTCCCCTCTCCTGCAGGGGGGGCGTGGTCAGTTGCAGCTCACAGAATCAGCCCCCTGCAAAAACAGGGCTGGAATGAGCAAATAGAGCGAAATGAGGCATGGCTAAAATGCAGGATCTGTTTGGTATTTTGAAAAAATATATATATGTATACTTTATATAGGTATGGCACTACAATATATGTTTCAAATATAGCATGATAGGTCCACTTTAAGTAAAAGTAGAAGTAGAGTGTAGGAATATTCTGTTACAAGTCAAAGTCCTGCATTCAATGTTACTCAAGTAAAAGCACAAAAGTATTAGCATCAAAATATACTTAAAGTACCAAAAGTAATATTTTATAAATAAAAGCTAAATAAAAATAGTGCAAATAGATTAGAATAAAATATAATATGCAGCTAGTTTTAATTATCTTTATATACTGCAGGGTAGCTTGTGAATTTACTCCAGGTTTCTTATTTAAGTGTTGATTATATTTCACATCATAAATCCAAATCTGTTAAGTAACTAAAAAACTAAATAAATGTAGTGGAGGCACACAAGGATTTGTAGCAGATTAGAAGTAGCCTACAAAGCACCATAAAATGGAAATACTCAATTCAAGTATAAGTCTCAAAATTGTACTTAAGTACAGTAGCCTACTTGAGTAGGCCTATCTACTTAGTTTGGTGATTCTCTGAATCGGGTGCCTTTTGGGTCTTTACATTTTTGAAAAATTAAACTGAATTTTTTGCATTTTTGATCATAACATCTGGTAGTGGACTACGTAAAACTTTGAGAAAACAAATGTTCCCACCTCAAGCACAAAATATATATAATTACTAGAAATTTCCTTGAAAAAATGTGACGGGGTTGAATGTGACGGGGTTGAAGTTTTTGGCAAAAAGTAGCCATGAGGCCTTGTTTAGCTGATGGAATTTAAGGACATCATAACATTGTAATATTTTGCAAAACTATTGTTTAATTTTTCCGAAATAATTGTTTACTATAAGTAATTCATGCAACAGAGTTGAAATGTTGAGTTTGACAATCTAAATCCGACAATAACATAATGAAATATAGGTAAGAAAAGACACTGACACTTGCCTTTCTTTGCCGCCTTTTCCTCAATAGACTTCTGTGATGTCACTCCCTCAATGCAGATGACACATGGACTGATCCATTATTTTAATATGGGGGTAAAATGTATAGCGTGACGGGGTTGAAACAAACTGGGGGACGAGTGTCAATAGTGCAATTTAATAGATCATTTATGTATTTTTTCAGATTTCTTTTTCTCAGTTAAGGTATACACGCATTATGATTATATTAGCATCATCATGTTGGTATAATTGGCCATTGTTATTTGTTTAATATTCAATGAATATGCGATGATGCTCAGTGAGGACATGCAAAAATGTGTGTTGTCTACTACAAAGACAACTAATTATTATAAAACAAAAACAAAATATATATATTTAGTTTTACATTGTAATGCAAAACACCCTGTTCCTTTAATTCAGTGCTTTAAAAATACATTTTGTAGTTTCCTTTCATTTAAAATCTTTGAAGTAAGCTTGGGGGACACAAAGGGCACCCGATTAGTCCAAAGTTGACCAGTGGTGTATAGTAACTTTGGACTAATTTGACGTGTGTAGCTTCCAATTGTTGCTACTTTGTTTGTTTTACTTCATTTTGGAGTTGGGGTTGCTTCTACAACATTCTGACAAACGTGAGCACCATATGATCGTATTACTACATGTTTGCATTGAGCGGCTCGGTGTATAGATGTAGGCCCCGGGACAGCACTGTGTCTGTTGGAGGCACCAGGCTAAAGGCTAAAGCAGCTCAGAGGCTGTAATCCCCGTATGAAACCATCATGGCTGCCACTCGCTGAGCTGTCAAGCTCTCCACAAAAGAAAAGGTAAAAACCGAGACAACTACACACACAACTACGGCTTTATGTTGTATCTGTACTCACGGGTATTTTATCTGCAGTGATAACTCGATGCAAGATTAAAAAAACTATTGTGGCGTAACTTTGTTGCCACGCTTTTTATTCTTCAAGTTATTTCGTCTTTGTACGCTACCGTCGCGTCACGTTATATAAATCACTCAAACGCTATTTCAGAAAACGTTATAACAGTTAGCTCTTAGGCCTATGGTGAATAGCCGCGTGTGTTTGTACTTGAAAGGTAAACGGTTCTAATTTAATTACAGTGGGATAGTTTTATCGTAACTTCCCTATTCCCAAGGTGGCCGTTGCTTGTTACGAAGGCAGTCTCATCACTTTGTTGTGGTCAAGTCAAACTGCACAACAATGGCCGCACGATTCACCGACGAAAATGCTCCGTAAAAGTCATACGTCGAGCCTTTCTTGTATTGTTGTGTGATTTTGTTTTTCCTTTAAAATGTCGCTTTTCACCGTAGTGCATTTGCCTGGGTTATATGCAAGTTCACAATGATTGTGTGTGCAGGTGAGTGTAAGTGCAGTTCCATGCACCTGGGAACTGATACATTAACTGTGTTGTGTTATACCTGATCTGAGTGTGTTCCATCAGGCATTATGTCCAAGCAGAGGCGTTTTGAACCCTAGCCAGCAACAGGTGGACTTAACATTAATAACACGCAGAGTTCCACTTTATGCAGCTTATTTTTATGGATTTACTGTGGAAACAACAGCATTAAGCAATCGCCAGAGGCTCAAGAATAATACATTTGAGGATATTTAATGTATGTGAGTCATAACGGTAATCTCTAGTATGGTTTAATCTTTCTTGAAGTATATTTTACTACATACCTGCCGAGAGTACAGGCGGTATACTGTATCTAGTTGTGAATTATATCTTTACATGTTTTATATTGCTTTCTTTGTGCATGTCCCCATTAAGATAAAGAAACACAACATAAACACTATTAAAAATAGGAATACATTTGTGTAATTGCACATATTTAAACACATTTTTTACACCGCATAAAAGTAAAACAACCTAGTGTTAATTTCTTTAAAGAAAGTTGACATTAGTATCATATATATCATATATCTAATGCAAACTCGCTTCAAACAAGCCTTTAATAGAAGCTAGTAGCTTTTTGTAAGACATATAAACACAGATGTAGGATCCATATTTTGTTTTTGTTAAATGAAGATAAATAAATGTACAAATATCTCATCTATCGTTATCTGGCATCCCTGGTCTTAACTCGCATAACATGTTGTTTGTGAAAGCAAAGCTTTATATGGAACCCATTTCAAAGAACCCCTCTTTGGCCGTGAATCTATATATATGTTTTCAATAATTATTTGTTTGCCTTCATTTTCAGAAATCTGACGGAAGAAACATGGATTCGGGGGATATTCACGCAGCTACCTCCAGAGGAGATAATAAACGGCGTGGCAACAAGAAGAATAGAGATTGGCACAAACGGCCCCACCTCAGGAACACAGTCGTTCAACCCCCAACTATGCAAAGTGAAGATAAGCGTGGACCAAAGAAGATAGCAGAGGGGTGGGAGCAAAGCACAGTGTGGCCTTCATCAAAGAAGCCCCCCCAGGAAGCACAGCAGGGTCAGCACAGGATTAACGACAATGGAAATACACTCAGGTTTACATGCTCACAATGCAAGGACAACTCAGAATATGTTCCCAAAGACTTAGTGAAACACTTCAAGGTAAATCACAGAGGGAGCCCGCCTGTTTTCTCCTGTCCTACGTGTACTTTCAGTACGCATGAGCTCTCCTACCTTCACGTTCATCAATTAAGCCACAAGGACACTTTTTCTTGTTGCAGCATTTGTAAAGACAACATTCAGCGCACATGGCCTGATTTCAATGCACATTTGACTATGTATCACAGCCAAAATGGCAAATATTCATGTGAAATGTGTCAGAAATTCTCCACAGGTGATGTTGGTGTTTTTTTAGAGCACATGTATGCACATCATTTTGGACTGGAGGAAGGTAAGGATCTTTCTCCACGCACAAGGGGCAGGAAAAAGTTAGGGTCCAAAGCAAACACTCAATCTTTACGATGTCAGCACTGTGGCTTTGATGCATCTCAAAAATGGTTGCTTACTAAGCACGTTAAAGCTGTCCACGTTTGCCAGAATGGTAATCAGAAGAAGAAAAAGGAAGAGGAAGAGGAGGAGGAGGAGGTCCACCCCATTGCAATGAAACCAAATGACCCTATCCCAAAAATGAAGTCTAGATTAACGAGAAGTGCAGTTAGGGAAATGTGTTGGCTGACACAGGACTGCCTCTCTCTGCCAGGGAAAGAGTTCCTGGATAAATACTGCCATCTGTCAGATCCCCAAACAACACTTAAGGAGACTCAACAGTTTTTGATGAAATCTGTTGCCGGAGAAACTGGCAAGCAGAAATGGTCCAAGGCTCTTAAAACCGTTTTGTCAAATGTACCTCAAGATATTAATCTTTACCCAAAGTCAGAGAATGGTATTTTCTCCAATGCGTCAAATCTCGCATTCCTGACCGCCAAGAACAAGATGACTGTGTCTCAGAACGGTGCTACCAACGGCAAAAGGTTGAAAATTATGACATCATTAGACAAGGAAACTCATTCCCCTGAAAGTGCTCCTGATGATGCTCGTAGAGAAGTTGATCAAAATGGATGGATGGATCAATCCAATTTGAGCGATCAATCACCTTGTCCACAGACCGAAACCAAACTAAATGACATGTTGCCAGCCCAGAGCGAGCCATCCGCATGTGGTCAAATGCAGGAAAACCGAGAGAATCGGGAAATAAAGACAGATCAGGAAATGGAGGATAATAGTAAAAAACCTGAAGAGCCTATGCACGAAGATAGGAATAACATCTCCTGTGAGCTGGAGTCGACAAATGAGGGCGAAGAGCAGACATCCATTCATAAAGTCTTACCAAATAATAAGAAGCGAAGGCGGAAAAGAAGGGCCAGATCTAAAAAAGTGGCTAAAAGATCGTCAGGGTCTGCATTAAAGATAGTGTTGAAGAAGAACCCAGTGAAAGAGAAGCAGTGGGTGACTCAAAGCTCTTTGTCTCCATCAGGTTGTGGTCAGACGGATGTACCTCCCAACACTCATGTCAAATTAGAGTTAACAGAAGAACACCAGCAAAAGTTGACCAAAGCTTCCGAATCTGATCCAGACGACCTTTCTAAAGCCGTCACTCAAAATCCACAGCCAAAGCAAGGGGAAGAACTGACCCCGAGTTGTGCTGCAAAGACAACGAGGTCTAAAAATACGGACGGAAATACACCTTTCAAGCTCAAAGGCTTGCCACTGATGCATCAAGAGATGGGACATGAGTCTGACAAGCCACCGGAAGCAGAAGTCGACGAGGGCGGTGCGGCTTGTGAGACGGGTCTGATAGCTGGGACTGAAGTGTGCCCCGGGAATGCTCAACTTCACACATCCGGCAGTAACACGGACTGCCATGTGTCAGCAGCTGATGGAGAGACTCCTCACAGCAGCTCCACCCAGGCGTCCCCTGTTTCCCAACCCGTAATCACAGCACAGGGTAAGATTACAGTTTCTATGCAGACGATAATGGTTAAGGATTTAACATGGACTGCCTTTTTTCTTGACATGTATTTCAATATCTTGCTTGAATTTCAAGCAAGATATTGTTTCATATGAAAAGTGCATGTCACTATTATCATGGCTAAAATAATTCATAACACAATCCAGATAAAAAAACTAAATGTGCTGAAACAATCAATTCACCTTATATATTGGATAGGATCACTTTTATTTTTTTCTCACATATAGGAAGCATACTTTTATTCAAGAGAGCATCCTCTTCAATAATAAGACAAACAAATAACCTTAAATGATACGGTCCCCCTGCATAAAAACAGGATAAATAAACCACTTTTTTCACCACTGACAGCAACGCAAGATGTATGAAGTGTCATATAACTGGCATATCGGTTCAATTTAAAATAATTTATTCGAAGTGTAATAACAAGTCCTTTTTCCAGTGGGAGCAAATTGTTAAACACAAAAATAGAAAGAAGAGCAACAACAAATTATTGAGTTTACGTGGTACATCCAAATTCACCATGAATTCCTTGCTTCCACATGCTTCAATGTAACAAACAATGTACCGTAGATACGCACTAAATTAAGTTGAGATTTTTCACTTGCAATATTATCTTTCATTGTCACATTCTTATTTTAAGATCAACAGCAATAGCATACCAGTCTGTTTTGAATCTAACATTTTCACATTTTGTCTTGCAGGTAAAGTCACCCATACAGATGTAAGCCATGCTCTCTCTTCAGAGCACAGTGTTGAGGGGGTGAGAGTCAGTGAAGCGCCTGCTGACCTCCTCCACCCTGATCTCCTCAGCAACTCGTCTTCAAGTGAAGCCATCTTAACGGAGCCCTCTTCGCCGTCTGGGCATCAGTGGCTGCCAAAGAACCAGGAGAGGACCCTGAAGCTAGTAGCCATAAATCCATCTCAGCTGGTGAGGCGTCCAGCAGGAGACCAGCCCGTTGTGGTGCTAAATCACCCGGACGCCGACATCCCCGAGGTTGCCAGGATCATGGAGGTCCTCAACAGGTACAGAGGGGAGGTGCAGAAGGTCGTGCTGTCACGGAAAACAGTCAGTGCTCTAGCAACCGCAAACTGTGATGCAAATGCTGTACCTGATCCCGCGGGGAACGCTAAAAACTCTGTACGGGAGAGATTTGTGTTGAAACTGAAACTCCGTAGGTTGAGCAGGAAAAAGTACGAAGTGGTCGCGGCAGCCGCTCCTAGCGGGGATGTTCGGAAGGAATTCCGGTGCTGGTTTTGCGGCAGGGTCTTCGCACGTCAGGAAACGTGTATGGTCCATCGGCAGAGACATCTGATGGACTGGAAAGGACCAAAGTTAGAAAACTCTTAAACGTCACTTACACTGGATGAAAAACAAAAGAAAGTCTGGAAAATAATGACTTGTTGCAATACAGCAATGGAAATAGTCTTCTCGTTTTTTTAAAAGTCTTAATTATGACTGGTTGGTTTTGAGGAGAAATCACGCCTCGCTCACATTCTCAGGGCTCACCTGTTGGAGTAGCTCGATACACAATCTGTACATTAGTGATTATTCGGAAACCACAAGGACGTGGTGTGGATAATTTAGTCCTTTTGTATGGTTTGAATTTTGTCTACGAAATTGCTTTATTTAAGATGATTTACGTACACTGTCTAACGGAATCTTTTATAGAACACTGTAACATGTTCATTTGCCATACCATCTGACTTTTATCAATCAGTTTATGTACGGGTTGGCTCTACAGTGAGGTAGCTATATCATATTTATGTTTTTTGGAATGGGACGCAGAGACCTACAATTTTCTAAGATATACGAAAATAGAAAGAAGACAATAAGCTATTATTCAACATTTATTTATGACTCTTTTATATCTCTATGCTTTTGCTATTGAAAGAATAGGCCTGTTTGTAAAAAAATAATGTTCAAATAAGAGTATTATCTGTATAATGTATATTTTCATGCAGCGGATTGTCCCTAAAGTCACGATTAATTTAAACTTTCATTTTGTGATGTCGGTGGAAAAATAGCTGAAATCTTTTTTTAATTCTGGAATTTAAAAGGCCAAGATGATTTGATCATGATATTTTTATTTTTCCTCTCAATGAGTTTCCTATTTTGACTTGAAATTATAATCTTATCTTTTAATTGCACTATGAAAGGAGGATTTATATTTCCCGTTACCTCGCCCTTATCAGTCTGAAGCTTTTGACAATCTCAACCCTGTGTCCTGCTGTGCTCAACATTTCCGTATGCAGCCATGATCCCTCAGTATTCACGGCTAGGGGACTGTGTGTGTGTGTGTGTGTCGGAATAATCCTGTATTCCGATATAGCGCCTGTTTCAGGAATGCATACTTCAGTGTCATTAACTCACTGTGTATATATCCTTTTTTTCAATTTAGATCAAAGATTTATAATTGTGTATATAGTCCAGATAGAGGTACTGTCAAATACTGCCTGAGTTTCACCAAGTGCCTAGGAATTGTTATTATGCAATAAATGTGCATGAGGATGATAGTTTGTCGCTTTATATGATGACTCGAAACGATGTGAGCCCAGGTATTATACAAGACAAGAAAATAATTGTATTAAAAAATATACAACCTTGTAATTTTGACTCACCAAAGTCTCACTGTCATACATAATCTATTTGTCAACCTGCTTTCTTTAGCTACAACAATACTGTCTCACTCCCCACATTCATTTTTATTACACTGTTTACGCATTAAAAAAACATCTTCAAAAAGTTATAGTCTTCTGAGTGCAATACATACAATCCTGTTTACTGGACTAAATATGAAAGGAATACTTCAACCACAAAACGACCAAAGCGTTAGCAGTTTTTCACCTTGTTAGCTGAGATATAAACAAATAGTATTCCACAGACTTAACAAATCATATTTGATCCTTCAAAAAACAACATGATCATCAATATCAATATAATGCTAGGTTTTCAGTCTGCGATGGAACAAAACATCCACTAAGAAACTTTATAGGTGGTGTTTTACATCTTAAGCTTTTAGTCTAGTCACTAGTGTATAAGCGTATAAAAAGTCTTCTGCTCAGCTTTATGCTGACTACTTCCAAAACACATGCATTCTGAATAAAACCTTACGATTTAACTCTCCTTATGGTCAGTTTAGAGTTTTCTAAATGCATGTTTTTTTCCGTCACAGACTGCACATTAACCAATAAAGAGAAACATATAATTTCAGTATCTAGAAGTTTAAATAAGTTGCTGTTCTGAGTTTGTATCCTCATTATTGTGAGTTGCTCTGGATAAATTAAATGTATACGTTTTTGTGACTCCTTCAGATTGTTCTCCGCTTGTGGATTCTTCTGGAAGATTCTTCACAAATGCAAGGTCACTCAGGGATAGTAATAGATATACACATTTAAATGATGTGGATGAAGCATTCATTGAACACTGGGAGGCGATATGCATCAAATAATGACTTCTGTAAACAATAGTCCGGCAGTAAAAACAGCAGGTTTGTCCAATCCGTGGTTAGGTCATCAGGGCGTGACGGGCTGGCTCAGTCTGACGGCGTCCTTGCTGTTACTCTGGCTGTCGATCAGCACCAGAGGATGCCTCTGGTGGTTCTCTACGATGTGGGAGATGCTGCTGAAAAACTGAAAAAGAATAAAAGACAAGTATGTTTAAAAGAGAAGAGTAGGTGTCTTGGAAATCACAAAATGAAGATGAAATGATTTTAAAACTCCACTAAACATTTGAAACTATTCAGGAAATGTTCAAGGTGATTGATTATAAATGAGTAATTATAACTACCAAACAACAGCAGAAACAAATATAGTAATGGCTCTTTTTTTTTAATTCATATAAAATGGTGGACACTGCTATGTTCATCACTTTAATGTAAATGTTGTACTATGTATAGAATTTCACCCAATAATCAATAAAGTTGTATCTACGGGAGAGCCATAAGGGCCGTGTGTAGGGGTAGTAAGTTGAAATGTTATAAGTCATTGAAATGTTGAAAAAAAAGTTAGATTTCTGAGAAGATATCAAACTGTTAGAATAAAATGAGTAGCGCACATAGAGTTTGACCTATTTGCAACATCTTGACTATTTTTTAAATAAAGCTTTTCTTGGCTCCCTCTTCTACAAGTCAATGGTATTGAATGAGTTTTTGTTTAAATACCCCAAATAAGGTATGTGGTGGACAAAAGCCTAAGATACAGTTGCAATGGAAAGTATTCAACCCCCATTGTACATTAGTTTTATTGGCAAAATATACAATGTCTCAGCTGTCAATAAACAAATTACACAAGAATATTCTAAGTAGTTAAATGAAACTTATATTACAAGGGTTTTTATCCAAATTCAACACAAAATGCTACTTTTAATGACTACTGCAGTCTCAAAATGATTCAACCCCTTCCTGAAAAGCATCTTCAGTACTGAGTAGAGCACCCTTTTGCTCTTCTGACCTGCTGCAAACATGATGCCAGACCCCAGCTTCTGACAGTGTTCCTGAGGAATATTAGCCCAATCCCCATGGGAAATGGCCTCCAGTTCAGTATTATTCTTGGGTGTGCGAGTTGCAACCACCTTCTTCAAATCCCACCAGAGATTTTCTATGTGGTTCAAGTCAAGGCGTCTGTTATGGCCACTCTAGAATCCTCCATTTCTTCTTCTGAAACCAAACCTTGGATGACTTTGAGGTATGCTTGGGATCATTGTCCTGTTGGAAGGTCCAACGACGCCCACGCTTCAGCTTCCACACAGACGGCATGGCGTCTTATCTTAAGATTTCCTGATACTTGACTGAATCCATCGTGCCCTCGACACACTGCAGGTTTCCAGTGCAGAGGCAGCAAAGCAGCCCCAGAGCATCACTGAGCCACTAACCCTTATGTGCAATGGGGTTGGATAATTTCGATTGCAACTTTAGTTTCACGTTTTGTTTTAGGACATGAAATATGCCAACAAATACCCAACTGGTGAAAAAGTCTTATTTGTCTTAAAAATGGCGGTTGCTAACAAGTGGCTAAATGAGACTAGTCATCACACAGAACATTAGGCGCCTTTACCTTCACGTTGTTGACATGGAGTCATGCAACCATGGTAAGATAAGATAAGATGGTACTTTATTGATCCCAATTTGGGAACATTTTTGTGTTGCAGCAGCATAAAAAGACAATAAAAATTAAAGGCTAGAAATAAACAAGAAAGTAGAAAATATACATGTTGAATTTAACAAGGTATTATATAAACATAAATATATGAAAGAAGGAATATTAATATTAAATATTAAATATTGAACGACCATAGATCCTACTTTCTACAATATTCCAAAAGCCCTTTGTAAAAATCCCTTTGCCTTTAGTTAAGGGAACCCTTGCAATGCAAACTCAAGGGTCGGCCTACAAAAGGATATCATCAGTCAATTCTGGTTTAACCCCACAAGATTAAAAGCCCTCCACTCTACCTCCTCCCCTTTCTTCTCTCTTCCCAGAGCGTACTGCTGAGTGCCGGCTATGAAGCGGATGGGGATGTTGTACACTCTGCCCTTATAAAACACCACTAGTGTGTATGGCTGCTGCGCGTCCTGACCGGAGCTCCTCCTCACCATGAACGCCCCGTCCTGAAACACAAAGCTCTCACAGTCACACCCAGCAGGGGGTCATTATGGGATACAACCCACACATGCTATTCATTTTGTTGACTGTGCTCTCCAAAATAAGAAGATTCTTACTTTGCCCGAGCGACACAACGCATCGTCAGCAGTTTTGCGGTCACATGCCGAGGCATACCAGGATTTCTTATAGACGCCTGCATCCTGAAATGAAGTAAATGGAGGACATCATTTGTGACCCGCTCTATCGAAATCAGTCGGAAGTCGCAACGGCTCATTTCAAAATAAACGTGGATTTGCATAAAAAACTATTTTTTCGGGGTTCGGGTGTTTTGTTTGATTTTAAACAAACAAAGTCTTGGCTTTCAGAATATGAAACTTTTATTTCCAAACTCACACGATAAATACATTCTTTAAGCTTGTAAAGGGAAGATGACAGGCAATCTGCTCTTCCGCAGCGCCGCTCCCCCTCCCTCCGGCTGACATTATGAATGTAAGCGTAGAGTAATCATAAATAACACGCGCAGGGTCCGTTACAGTTTGGTCTTTCATCTGATTTCAATTTAAAACAAAGTCTTGGCTTTTTCAGGAATCATATAAACTGTGTTTCGGCAAATTTCAGATGATAAATACAACTTAAGCTTGTAACGGCCATAATTACAAGCCGGAGCAACGAGTAACTTAACGTCACAGCAGGCATAACAACAGCCGGCTGTTTCTCGTTGGAGGGTTTTCCCCCCCCCGGGGAAACACACGCTGAGATACGACACAAACGCAATATCACACAAACCAGAAATTACACACACACACCGTATACACACACACACACACTCGCGAGCTTTCTCCCAGACCAGTAATCCAAAACGAAAATATCTTCCCTCCGTAGTATTTTGATCAATTTGCTCCGCTAATAATCAATCAGATCGATGGATTCCAGAGAAGAGAAAACTTTGAAAGGCCTTTTTCTCAAAATGATGACTCGGTGACAGTCATTATATAATGTGACATATTTCGGCTTAATATTTGGAGTACAAAAACAATCCTGAATATCCATTAGAAAGTAGGCAATATCCTCTTTCCAGCAGCATTAGAAAGCTAGGAATATCCTCTTTCCAGCAGTGTATACAACTCAAAATGTGTCTTCGGGTCAATGCGACTGATTTCGATAGAGCAGGTCACATTTGGTGTTATTACATTTTATCCAAGCTACTTACATATATTTTTAATTCCGAAGATGAGCTAACAGGAGCAATTTGGGGTTTCTTGCCAAGGGACACTTCAACACATTGACTGCAGGGGATAATAAATATGAAATCAGCTTTTCAGTATCATGTTGAAAGGGCAAACCTTATCTTGGCCTGTTGTCCCATTCTCAGCAATGACACTTCCTCTGTCAGTTGGCTCTGGGACAAAAAACACAAACATGATATTAATAGTGTAATGTTTGATAATGTAGATATGTAATATGCTGTTTATTTTTTATTTTAAAATGGAGCAACTGTAAAAAAATCCGGAGCAGACCATACTTACTTGTGAAGGTCATCTGTGGAAAAGGAATTCTGCAAGAAGCAAACAAACAGAGCAAACCACATTTAAGACACGTCATGATCTTGATTTTTGTGCTTCCTATTTTATTTTAAAAAGTATTCTCTCATTGTGTCTTGTCTTGTTACTTCCTATCTTTGTGATTGTCTGATCGCCCTGATTCTGGCCACCTGAGTGTCATCACCCTGCTGTCCGAGTGTTTTTGATGCCCTCTCCAGTTGTGCCTGGACAATGTAGTTATTCTGTTTGTGAACATATGCCTGTCTGTCCCAGTATTCTCTGTTAGTTCCATGCCAACGTTCCTGCCAATGCCCCCCTACCATGTGTGGTCCCGGTTATTAAGGTTTCCGTCCATATTCCCGGTCCGTGTTTCCGCCCTGTGTTTGTGCTGCTCGTGTCATCCTGGAACGTCTTTCATTTTGTGTCTACTTTTTCCTTTTAACTACATTATCCTGCTATATTAGTTTCGTGTTTTTTCATAGCAACTTTTTAAAAGCTGGCTTTTTGTTCTTTTATACCTTGGTCCCCTTTTTTGTACTCAATTTGGATTCTGCCTTCCTTACCCCCAACCCCACGACAACACAGTATAGAGTTGTCATTAAAGGCAACTTCCCTCAGTTCAAAAGCAATAAATATTGGGACTGCTCCATTGAAATAAAACGCATTGTGTAAACCAGCATGTGTTACTTTGGTCGTTGGGGGTCCAGTGTGAAAGCTGTTCTCTGAGGCTTCAGATCCTTCTGCATCACAGTCAGCGTTCGGCCTGTAGGAAACCAGACGTATGGTAATTAGGTTGGCTGTTTAGTAATGAGTGGAAAGTGAAAGATACGTTCCACAAATAAAATATGTACATAGGTTTTGAGGAATACTGTATTTTCTTAAACACTTACTTTCAAATTCCCTAGGTTTGAATTCTGGCTTCTGCAACAACAAAAAACAGTGTCCCACATTAAAGCCATGACAATATTGATGATATCTGATTCAAACATCAACGATGAATCGCATAATTGATTAGTCAACTAAATATTACCGTAATTTTCGGACTATAAGCCGCGCCTTTTTCCCTATTTTTCGACGCTGCGGCTTATATAACGGTGCGGCTAATCTATGGATTTTTACAGCTAACGGCCAACACCTTTAACTCTATGGGCTCTATGGCCGGTCCACGGACCCCCACCTTTAAGCGGCGGGTTCCAGCAGGAAAAGCTGGAGGCCGGAAAAGAGTGAGACAGGTAGCGCGCAAAAGTAAAAGTGGAACCGAGAGTGGTATGCCGCTGCTGCGGCTTATATTCAGGTGCGGCTTATAGTCCGAAAATTACGGTAATTAATTGCTAACTATTTCACTATCCGATTAAACGGTAAAGTATTTCTTCACACAGAAAATGCTGTTTTCAACCGCTCAAATATCAGAATCAGAAACAGGTTTACTGGAGATTTCCTGCTTTTTTTCTGTACTATATGTAGGCTACTGTATATATTCCATAGTGGATATATTTGGATTTTGGACTGACAACACAATTTAAAATTCAAAGACATTAACCTTTACTTTGTGAAACTGGGATAAACATTGTTCACTATTGACTGACATTGTGTAGACCAAAATCGATGATGCTATAAAAAATCTGCAGATTAATTGATTATTATGATACTCATAAGTTGTAGCCATATATCTATGTATATATGATACAAATCGTAACAGAACTTGTCTGATATTCCTACCGGCTTGACAGGTGGTATTGGGGACCTCCTGAGAGAGAAAGAGAGACAATGATTTCAGACAACTAGTAATTCCCTTTTTAAGTTTAAACATGAGATGGAATCGTGGAAAAGTGATGCTTACTCTCTTGGCAAAGGTTTTGGTCTTGGTCGAGGAGGACCCTCAGCACGTTTATTAGTGGAACCTGAAAGAGCACACAATGCAATGACAAGAGATCTACCAACAAGTAACTACTTTCAGGCTTGGGGGGTAAGGGGATTACGTAATCAGGATACAAAAAAAATTACATAAAAAATAAACGGAATCAGATTACTGTTCGTTTCTAAAAATTGGGATTACTAGCAGGATTTCAACGTTACTAAAAACCTAAAAAGATAACTTGTTTGTTTTAAATGGAAAGGATCAGATGTTCTCTCTTCTCTGTCAGCTGTACTGTTCTGTAGGCTAACACTTTAAGTGTGAAACTATACTTCTACTGCCTGAATCTGCTTTATGGTTTTCACTTTCTTTGCTTCATTTGTTCTGTTTTTAATTCAGTAGGTGAACTTGTATGTTCATAAAATAGTGTGTGTGTGAGCTTAACTGGGTGTATGAAACTAAAACAGGGCATTTCCTGCCAGCTCAGATTTAATTTCTGCTTTTTAAAACTGGAGTATGTGCTCATGAGTTTCAGTGTTGGTGTTTAGACTACTGCCTGAATATGCTTCATGAAAGGCAGCTTTTCCTATCAATTAAATCCTTTTTTATCCTTAATATATTGGTTTCTTCTTTACTAAGGTCACATTGTTCTGTTGTCTTACATTATACACGTAAGGAAATAAATGTTTCTCTTCCACTGGTCATCCTCTAGATGGCACAACATGACAGCAGTCTGTCTTTAAAAATAATTAGGGGGCAATAGTTCACCTATTAATACTTACTATCTTCTGGATCACAAACTTCATATTCATCGTCGCCTGAGGGCTTCTGGACCTGAAAAATCCCAATATTATTAACTGTGGAACATTCCGTAAATCCCTGGAAAACCACTTTCACATGATCATTTGTCATCACTCACAGGAGTAGGAGATCTCCTCGGGTTCGCTCTGAAGAAAACACAACTCATTATTGGAGTATTAGGAAAGAAATGTGCTAACTTCATAACAGACAGAGAAAGAGTTGCACTTAAAGGCTAACTCCACTATTCTTCAACCAGGACCCTATTTATCCCAAGTTATTACGTCTAAGAGACTAAAGTGGAAGACAGTCAGATATCGGCCCAGTATTGAGCAGCAGCTAAACATGCTGCAATGTAATCCCATTGTTGCAATTCTGCACTGTTACCGTCTGGTTTCGGCTTCTGACCAGCTCAGTGTTGTGGAACTTTACAGAATGGACCCTAAAGAGTACATTTAAATGTTTATCATCCTTTTACGGACTGTTACTTTTGTGTCATGTGACCTCTTGCCTAAAGAAAACAGTCTAATCGTGGGTGAGAGTAGTGCCAGTGTTTGTTATGTTGGAGTAGAGAAAGTGTATCCTAATGTAATCTAAATGGTTTCCAAGGTAATGACTGAATATGGTAGCCGATTACGACAATATGGACGGGACACGAGATTTCACAACGAAATCTCAGAGACTCATCAGATCAAACAGCGGAAAATGGAACAAAGTTTTATATATCCACAGGGTCCTATCCATAGTTTTGTCAGACATTTATACAACAATCTGGGCTTGTCAGTGGCAAAAGCAAGCCCTTTTGGTGTACATAGTGCATTTTCCCTTAGTAATCCTACCTGGGGCTGGGCTTGGGTGGTGTAGAAGGAGACTGTGTGGCGGGGATTGGACCAAGTCTGAAAAATTCAAAAGATTATAGTCTCAGAGTCTTAGAGACTGCAGTCTAAATACTATCATTGTGTTTTGCATGTCTGTACAATTACATGAATGATCATCCATGAAGAAAGTCTCCCACTGACCTGTTTGCTGGAAGAGATAATGAGTTCCCCTGTGAAGACACCATAAAATGGAACCACAATGAATTCCACATGTAAATGTCCTTTAAAGAATGCTTGGAAATGCTCTTACATAAAAGCTTACCTCTTTGTCAGGAACTTCATAAAAGTCTGAAAAACAACCAGAGGCAAAATTAGACAGTGTAGAACCAAACCACTTGTTTTGTAGGAGGATTGCATTGCAACATATTCACCCTTGGTGTGTTTGGACCTATGGTTTGGACTGACTGCTCTTGCCTGTCTCTGATTTCTGAGACAGGCATGCGTGTTTACAAAGACTATTCAATCATGTAGGCCTATTATCTGTTTTTTCAACATTGTAGACATAACATAGGCCCTTCTTTCTTCCAAATAGCAATAGCAACATGGCTTTTTTAGGTTTGAAATGTCTTATTATCGGATGGCCATTACTTTTTGTACAGTCATTCATAGTCCCTAGAGGATGAATCCAAAACATTTTCACTAATCAGGTGAAAAATCTCTAGATCTAGACCTCTAGATCTCCATTAGGCGCTTTCACAACGCAGTACTTTTCCCACAAAGGTTCATGAGAACTTAGTTCATGAGAACTCTTTAGTTCTCATGAACTAAAGAGCAGATCGCGCTCACACCGGAATAAGTCCCTGTACGAGGATTAGGCAAATAAAGCCGCTGACGTCACTTCTTCTTCTTCTGCTTTGGGTTTACTGGCAGGCCGCAAACAACTTCACGACGTGTACTGCCACCCAAAGTCCCCGGCCGGAAGTCCCCGGAGTTGGGGACTGGCTTCAGCAGAAGCTGCTGGGACTCCCAGCAGCTTCTACTGAAGCCTTCAGAGTAAATCGCCAGAACGCCGGCACCTCCTCATCTCCACCGCTCCCATGTTTTCTTTTGTGTTGCCATAAGTTAGACTCTCTGCGTTTGTGCGCTGGGCTAATGCTAATGCTAATAATGCTAATGCGAGGATAGTAAAAAGGCGGCTTCACAAAACTTTTTGGGAGTTTTACGGGGCGTGGTTTGCAATCCGCCCAGCCAATCAGACATAGGTACCTCTTTCAGGACTGCTCTCTAGCAGGGACTGAAAAGGGGGTAAAAAGGTTCTCATGAACAAATTTTAGTTCTGGCTCTTTTTGGTGTGAACGCGCCTATTCACTTTTCCTCTATAATGCATCCTAGTGACTTTTCCTCTAGGACCATGAGGTTGGAATGTGTTGTTTGAAGTAAAATGTTTAACTGTTGACCGATAGTAGGTCATCTATTGAACTTTCAAAGGCCATAGAAATAACAATAACGAGTTAGGCGCGTTCACACCGCAGTACCTTCAAGTTCTGATATAGTTCCGAAATGTCGCGTTCACACCAAAAAGAGCCGGAACAAAAATTTGTTAATGAGGAACTATATCAGAACTTGAAGGTACTGCGGTGTGAACGCGCCTAACTCGNTCTGTTGCATTGAAGAAGTGCGGACTGCGCATGCACCATGTAGTGAGTTAGCATTTTATCACTACCGGTTCCCTGGTCTCAGAGTCAATGGGATTTCTCCATAGGATTTTGGAAAATAGCTGGAAATAAGGTCTGTGGTTGACACAAATTTAAGAGAGGGATCACGTTTTGTTCTACGACATTAAATACACCAGCAGTGACCCCACTGGTGATTTTTGAAGAGTTTACGAGTCTGAAAAATGATGGTTGTTAACAAGTGGCTGAATAGGACTACAGAAGTTGTCCAGGCCGTTGCACGTCATTACTACGAAGACGTAAACACTCCCGCTAAGTTTTTTTGCCCCTGTTCTGCTTGAAGGCTAGTACCTGCGCTCTTGAAAACTGTTAAAACAAACGCTTCAACTTGTACAATTTTAAATCTGTATTTTTGAATATCGATCTTAAGTTGGCGTGACGTTGAAGTCGTGCGACCCTGCTGTACTCGGCTGTAGTTCGTTTATAGCATAACGTTAGCATTTTGCTTCTGGCGATTAGATTTAAGATTCGAAAATTATAAAAGTAGGGTAGACATGTGGAGATTATCCGGCTGAACAAAACGTGAATTTATCAAACAGGTTCTTTTTCCACAGACCTTATTTCGAGCTATTTTCCAAAATAAATTTGTCGAGGGAACCCATACGCAGCTTACTTACGTCATCCCTGCACCACTCTATGGGCAAAGATTTCTGCGCCCCAAGCAGAAAATATGTGACTTATCAGTAACTTTAGACATCATAAAACCATTTTTATCGATATTTTATAATAGATTATACATTTAGCTGACACCAACTATATAATATACCTTGTTCATTAAAAAAAAGCTTTAATGAAAATCTAGAATGTGGGAAGAGGTGTGGCGGTGCCCCTAGCGCCCCTATTGGCCGGCCGCCACTGCAACATCTCACATTTAACGCCACATAAACCTTTATCCACATAAACTACATCTTAAAACATTAATAATACAGTCTGTGCCACTCAACATGGTGTATATAATCCTAAACTTTGAGACGGAGTGCCGACTCACTTAACGAGTGACTTAATGAGCCGCTATAACAAACATGCACGCAGCATGCACAGATCACATGAGCACGGAGACTCTGCATTAAGCCACATCGGCACAGAAGTTATCATAATAATACAGGCAGTGACAACAGGCAGTACTGTGGACAAACACTCACCTTCATTTATGCAGACAATACTGTAGAAACACTTAGGATGACACTGCACAACTGTACAACTTTCCTGCAACTTTACTTCTGACACACATTACCCTCTGATGTATGACGTCCCCCAAAACACGTGGGTTAGCCCCTCCCCACTATGAAGACATAACTGAACAGGTATCAACTCTATATGATAACTGAATATATATAACAATAACTTATAACTTTGAGGGCTTTTCTACAGTAGTTGTTCGCAATGAAAATCTGAAAAGTCCCTGGCTACTCCAACAGTGTATCATACATAACATTACATGTTACTTGCTTTTATCCAAGGCGACTTACATACTCAATACTGTGGACAATCCCCACAGGAGCAAGTGTCTTGCCCAGGGACACAACGACATGCTGACTGCAGTGGGGTTTGAACCTGTGACCCCCTAAACCCAACACCAAGGCTCTATCCACTGCGCCACACGCTTCCTCGCATACCAATACAAATACATAAAATATAGTAAAAGTAAAATGCAGGAATATCTCCAGCCTCCAAGCTCCTAAAATGTCCAAATTTACAAAAACATTGCAACTGTGCTTCAGGTGAAAGCACACATGATTGCACCCATTTCCATTTGCCGTTTTGAGAAGCATGCTGTGATCAATTATATGAGAGATTATACAACTCTAAGTGAGAGGTGAGGAGACAAGCTCCACTGGTTCCTCAACCAAGAGGCAGACCTTCAGAGTATGCTTTCGTTCTAAAATTAGAAAAGGTTCTCTGACACCTGCTCGCATGACTTTATTACTGGAATTTAATATTTTTTGTTGCCTGGGTTTCTTAAAAATCCACAATTAGAATAGTTTCTATAAGCTAATTTCTCCCTCTGTGGTGGGTTGTGACACTTACTGAGATTCTGTACTTTGCAGAATGTTTCCATAATAGTACCTTATACCTACTCCATTACTTTTAATAGAGAAAAACTTTATTTGTACTCCACCACATTTATTTAACTTCTTTAGATACTTTTCAGATTATGATTTTTCATGAAAAGAAATTGATAAACATATCACATTAGATATCTCTAAAGAATAAACAACAGTTTGAGGTCCAAAAGTAAACTATAATATATCAAAAAGTAAGAAAAACTCCCTCTGGAAAGAACACTGGGATTTTAGCCTTTGCAGACAATTTACATGCACAAAAACCTATAAGTTACACACTACAGGTAAGGGGGAAACCCCAAAAAGCAGAATAGGGCTTCTATAAGTGAGTTCTTGAACAATCCTTACTTGTAATGAAGTATTTTGACATTCAGGTATTAGTACTCTTACTGAAGTGAAGAATCACATTACTCGCGCTTAGTAATAAAATCATTTCACATACCTGTGTTTACAGATTTCAGGGAAGATGAAGAACGGTCGGACTCTGATTATGTAAGTTGGGACATATGGTATGTGAGTTATAAATCATTTAAAGCAGGGATGTCAAACTCAAGGCCCGAAGGCCAAATCCGGCCCGCGACCTCATTTTCTGTGGCCCGCAAGAGCATGCAAAGAATATAATATACAATACAATTAGTGTAATTTCAATTATTTGCCCTAGACTTCTGCTTTCAGACGTAGTTATTTATAAAGTTATTAACAGAACAGAACTGATAATAATCCAGTGCAGAGCCAATAATGTAATATAATACATGATTTAATATATATTTATATATGTATATTTATATAATCTTAAAGTTACAACCGACCCCTTGAGTGCAACCATAATGCTGATGTGGCCCTGATGTGGAATTTGAGTTTGACAACCCTGATTTAAAGTGTAATATTTCTATAGAACATAACAAGCAAGTTGTTCACAGGACAATGACATGTATGAGGATCCACATGAGGAGCAGGACGACAACTACGAGCCTCCCCCCAGCCACAAAGCCTTCACCCCTACGCCCTCTGCTTCCTTCCCGAGGGGGGAGTACCTCGGTCAGTACAGTCATCTGACAACTCCTTATGTCTGCATTTATTTCACCCAAAAAATATTTTTGTACAAACATCATCAGTTCTCCCGGATTCATTTTCACACGCAGTTTCTATTTCTTCAATATGTTCTCTTTAACAGTGATCACCCTCTTCTGGTACATTTGCATTAGTCCATTCAGCCCTTTCTCACCATTGAGACAAAGCCACAATTCTCACAGGGCTTCACAACGGTGATTCATGCAAATGCTGACGTCCTGTTTCTACTTCTCCTTTCCAGACAACAGACAGAGCAGACCCGGCCGGCTGCCCAGGAAGCCCCTCCGCCCGGGCAAAGGCTCCAGACAGCTGCCCCCAGAACCCCCCCTTCAAGGGAGCGATGAAGTAACGCAACTTTTTCCACCTAAACCTTTATTTAATACTGTACTGCAGGCCTGTCTCGTCCTGGATACTTCAGCATTAATGCGTCATGAAGTATTTCGCCATATCCTGTGTATTGGCAAATGATGAGTGTGGACAGCTGACCCCATTTTCACAATTTCTTGTTCTGCAGGAAGACTACATCAATCCAGACTGCAGTAATGATGATGACAACTACATTGAACCTGATGAGAATCCCCCTTCCAGTAAGATACAGATCAGAAAGAGAGGAGGCACACTGATTTGAAATCTTTGAAAACTAAAATGTTTGTATGCTTCTGTCTACCAATCAAGTTGGAGTTTTCAACCAGTTCTGTACGACATTTGTAGAATATTGTTATAATTAACGTAGGAATTGTTATATTATAGAAAAACATGTGTTTGGTGAGTTCACAGAAACTTTAATCAAATTTCATGACGTGCATCTCAAATTTTGAAAAAAGATCTCTCCTAGGGTTTCTAAGATATTGCGTTCATGAGATTGCGATGGACAGATGAACGGACTACAACGCAAAAACAACATGCGTACGGCCACTACTATTCTCCTAAAACCCGGGAAAGAACAAGCTTTTTACCACATCCGGATCCCTATTCCCTACTTTTTTTAGCATGTTTGTGATTCGAAATAAGGTCTGTGGTTAACACAAGCTTACAACAGTAAATACTCCACTTGTCAAATGTTTGCAACTTTGATGTGCCATAAAAATGGTAGTTGCTAACAATCGACTAAATAAAATATTAAACGTCATCACGCTGACACTACTCTGCCTTTAGCTAAGCAGTGGTGATAAGCAGGCAATCGTGATCTGAGTTTGCTTTGTATTACTGCCAATCGCATTTACGCTTCAAAAATCTAAAAGTGGTGTCAATATGTGGAAATTATCATGTTGAACAAAACGTTTAAGTATCATAAACATGTGTTTTGCCACAAAGCTTAATTTCAGCTAAATACCAAAATCAAATTTGGAAATCCTATTGCTTTTTGTTCAGGGACTCGTGCGAATTTAACTTCCGGGTTTGCCTACAAAAATAAGTCATCACTGCAACATTCTATCGGTGGTGGAGGCACATAATTACTGTAGCTATATGGAAGCTACTGCTGCAAGACTGTCACTATGAAGATGTAATAATGATCTCTGCTTCTTCTCAGATCCTATGTTGCATTGTGGGAGCAAAGCAGGAAGGGACCGTCCCATGATGGCTACACCTTTAACAGAGCGCTCACCCAGTCCTGGTAGGTACATCAATAACCATGCTGCTGTACCCAAACGCTAATTCACGAGGGGCTATCAAATTACAGATTACTGGTTTTTATAACCTTTACTCATAACAACAGGCGCATTCACACCGCAGTACTTTTCCCACAAAGGTTCATCAGAACTTAGTTCATGAGAACTCTTTAGTTTTCATGAACTAAGTACAGATCGCGTTCACACCGGAATAAGTCCCTGAGGGAGGATTAGGCAAATGATGCCGCTGACGTCACTTCTTCTTCTTCTGCTTTGGGTTTACTGGCAGGCCGCAAACAGCTTCACGGCGTATACTGCCACCCGAAGTATGGATGGGAATTCCGGCTCTTCTTGGCGAGCCGGGTCATTTGGCTTGGCTCACCAAGAAGAGCCGGCTCTTTCGGCTCCCAAACGGCTCTTCAGTTTACCACATATTATACCTTTTATAATTAAATCAAATGTAGCCCTGTTTTGGCTAACGATTTATATGTGTACACATATCACTTAAATTATTCAATACATCCTTTGTACTGAAGTATTCAAAAGTAAAAATTACATGTTTAATATAAATGATTTGCTGTGGCCAAATGTTATCATTGCATTTAGAGACCCTTGTATCTCTCTGATACAACCCAATGAAAGCACTGTCTTGCTTGTAGAACCACGCTACACAAAGCAGATAGCAACACCTATAAAAACTTAAGCATAGACATTTAAAAAAAGGGGCTAATGTATCGACATTTTAAAATTATATTTAAAGAAAAGGCCCTGACAAAACAGCAGGGCTCTATTTCAGTAATTATTANGAACCTGTTTGATAAATTCACGTTTTGTTCAGCCGGATAATCTCCACATGTCTACCCTACTTTTATAATTTTCGAATCTTAAATCTAATCGCCAGAAGCAAAATGCTAACGTTATGCTATAAACGAACTACAGCCGAGTACAGCAGGGTCGCACGACTTCAACGTCACGCCAACTTAAGATCGATATTCAAAAATACAGATTTAAAATTGTACAAGTTGAAGCGTTTGTTTTAACAGTTTTCAAGAGTGCAGGTACTTGCTTTCAAGCAGAACAGGGGCAAACAAATTTAGCGGGAGTGTTTACGTGTTCGGCGTAATGACGTACAACGTCCTCGACAACTTCTGTAGTCCTATTCAGCCACTTGTTAACAACCATCGTTTTTCAGACACGTAAACTCTTCAAAAATCACCAGTGGGAAATCCCATTGACTCTGAGACCAGGGAACCGGTAGTGATAAAATGCTAACTCACTACATGGTGCATGCGCAGTCCGCACTTCTTCAATGCAACAGATAGGAGCAGCTCGGGGTGCTAGTGATGTGTCGGTCGCGAAGGAGCCGGCTCTTCTAAGTGAACGACGGGAGCCGGCTCGCGCCCGCGAACGAACCATTCTTTTTTTTTTGTTAAGTAATACAAGACAGAATGATATAATAATATCCGCGCTACGGGTGCTCCATGCATGCATCTGCTGTTTTGAGCATTGCAATACATTTATTTTCACTATGTTATTTATTTATGATTATCTTTAGGCTCAGCAAGGACTTGATGTCATCTGTTGCTGACTTTTTTTCTTTAGTTAATACTGAAATAGAGCCCTGCTGTTTTGTCAGGGCCTTTTCTTTAAATACAATTTTAAAATGTTGATACAGTAGCTGTCCTTTTTTTAAATGTCTATGCTATGCGTTCATTGGGTAGTATCAGAGAGCGCCAGAGAGTGAAGCCGAAGAGTCGGAGTGTAAGAAAAACTAGATAGCGAATATGGAGAAGGAAAATGATGTTTAATCACTTAAAGAAACACCCTTTGAGAGCAGGACACTGGAGGGAAAGCTGAGAGTAAAAGAGCTTGGACCTGATCAGCCTGACATAGGCAGGAGTTAAGGACAAAGGTGAAAAACGTGCTCTTTTTCAAGGAGCTGGTTTAGCAAGAAGGCTTGGCTAACTACCAACACCAGTGCCATATTTAGCTTCCCCTGCCTCCCTTTTCAAATGTCAGGATCAGACCAGTCTATGGAAGAGACCCAGCATGGATCCAGACAGATGTGAGAGACTTAAAGCACATGTCAGAAAAAACTAAAAAGCATGAACAAACTAGGGTCCACATGGATGATGCTATGCACCGTGTTTAGGAAAGTAAACACAGCTGTCCAATGAGGGCTACAGGATAGGGATCTGTAAGCATAATAAGGATGTTGACAGAAACAGGCACTAAATTAATAGACTGTATCAAGTGCTGTGTGCCTTTGAGCTAGCCCTGCGTTGTAATATGACATATATTTTGGGTTAGTGTATAAGTTTGCTTACATTTTGGTAGAGCCCCCTCTGGAGAAATATGCACCAGCCGCCGATGATAGGTGACCTTTAGGGGAAAACACATGGTAAAAACTTGATGATATCTAAAAGACAACCCAGTCTCACGGCATTTTGTGTTACGGCCCGTCTACACTACAGGCATCAAAAAATCTTGAAGCTGGGCGTGTCTGAAGTTTGGCGATTGTGTAGACGGGCCGTAACACAAAATGCCGTGAGACTGGGTTGTCTTTTAGNAGAGAGTAACACCCTCCCTTCTATGACAAAGACGTGACTTGTAGCCAAATACTGAATTCATTTACATTTCTGCGGACAGTCTTGCAGCACACAATGTTTGAGAAGTAGAGGGCCGAAAATGTTAAACATGAATATGGATACGTTAGGTAAACTCGCTGCTCCAGCTACAGCAAAGATTCGGTAAGAGGTTTAATATTATTTTATATGTTGAGGTGGTTGATGACACAAAATCACTTTTTGCTGCTGCTTTATTCTATTGAACTGTGTATATATTTTTGCACTATTGACAAAAAATGTAAAATACTTTTTGTATGTGTTTGCAGTTTAGTGCCAGAAAAAAAGTATTGTGACATTTGCTAACTTTTTACTGAAAGTAACAAAAACAAACAATCTCAATGTTCAAAGTACTCTTTTTGAATTAAAAAAGGATGCTTTTACCATTACATAAATCCTAAATTATGTATGAAAAGAGATAAAGAGGAGAATTCTAAAGAATTAAAGAAAGAATGATGTGTGACTAATTGACGTGAATACTGCAATCTTCTTCTTAAATACCCTTTAAAGCTGAAAATATCATTGACTTCATGTCGATCACTTGTTTGGCTCACAATAACGCAAAACTCATTTTATAAAGATGTGTTTCTGAATAATAAAGCCAAATTATATGTTTTTCCAGGCAGCTTCAGAAGATTGTTCAAGACATCAAGAAAAATGATGGCAGCTTACTGAACAAACTAAGAAGGTGAGTCTCTAAAATCTCCTAATCTTTTTATTAGTACTGCATATTTCTATAACACTTGGAAAAAACAATCCAAATATATCAGTTTCACTTTACATGAATATATGTGTGGCTGTTTATCTAAAATGTCCCTGTGGTGAATACATGCATTATTAGAGAATGTCAATTCCCCTTTCACAAGCAGTGGAATAAGAGAAAAACTAAAAATAACTACAGCAGATGGCTGTTTCAATTTCCTTTCCTGAAATGAGTCCCTTTAAGGCACATCAGGAAATAAAATACATGCATTACAGAAGCCATTCATCCTCGTCTGGTAAATATGCCCAGCAGTCTGCTAACTGCTTTTATGTAAATATAGACATTTCACAGTTTTACAGCACAGGTGGTGAGTGGTATGTATGCAAATGAAATTTCCCATACAGCAAGATAAAGTATCATTACGCCAACCATTCCACTCTACTCATTTAAATCACAATTCATATTGTGTCAAATCCCTTATTTAGCCATTCATTGCCTCAACATCTCTTTGTGTGGCAGATTGAAAAGTAAACCGGTTCCAAAAGTACCTGCGAGGGATTACAGAGGTAAGAACTGAGCCATTCACTTCACATCACTGATGCAACTGGAATATTGAAACATGAGATGGAAAAAACTGGTATTTAAAACTCTTATGACACTAAAAAAGAAACCTTCGTTTCGCTAGTTCAAAATATACACTGAACAAAAATATAAACGCAACACTTTTGTTTTTGCTCCCATTTTTCATGAGATGAACTCAAAGATCTAAAACATTTTCTATTTACACAAAATAACCATTTCTCTCAAATATTGTTCACAAATCTGAAAAGATCTGTGATGGTGAGCACTTCTCCTTTGCCGAGATAATCCATCCCACCTCACAGGTGTGGCATATCAAGATGCTGATTAGACAGCATGATTATTGCACAGGTGTGCCTTAGGCTGGCCACAATAAAAGGCCACTCTGAAGCGTGCATTTTTGGTTTATTGGGGGGGTCTGGGGGGGTCAGAAAACCAGTCAGTATCTGGTGTGAGGGTTAGGATTAGGGTTAGGGTTAGGGTTAGGGTTAGGGTTAGGGTTAGTGTATGGTGTGAATCGAGTGGCCCATGGTGGTGGTGGGGTTATGGTATGGGCAGGCGTATATTATGGACGATGAACACAGGCCACTTGTAATTGTTATGATCATTTTCAGGTAATATTTGTATTTTATGCTTTACCGTGACATGTTCTCCATGCTTTAATGTTCAAAAAGCTCTTTTTATTTTCTTCATACTGCCTGTGCTGCAGCACCTCTTTTCACCCTCTGTCTGAAACCAGAGCCCAGTCTGCTCTGATTGGTTAGCTGGCCGAATCTGCTGTGATTGGTCAACCGCTTAGAATTGTCCCACCCCTTAGCCCCATAGGGATGTCACTATGTTAGGGAAGAAAACAAAGCAGTCCAATTGAGGTGTTTCAGGCCCCCCCGCCTGAAACACCTCAATTGGACTGCTTTGTGTTCTTGAACGGTGGGAGAGAAACTCACTCTAGAGTGAACACAGGGATTGGTGCTCGAGTTGAATGCCTGCACTAGCTCACAGGCTTCGCACCATTATTGACTTGATGATAAATTGGTAACTCGTGGTAATTCATCAAGATTGCAGCTTAGTTCAGCATACCATAATTTGCTAATTCGCAATTAATGCATATGGTATGTAACATTTCAGCACATTGACAACAACTACACCTTTGTTGTGTTATTATACAATTTTTTTTCAACTGTATATAAACATTTCAAGTCATTTGGGATTTTAGCCTTTGCAAACCATTTACTTGCACAAAAACCTAAAGAACACACTACAGGAAAGGGAAACCCCCAAAAAGCATTATAAGGCCTCTTCAAGTCTTTTTGTTGAATAACAATGGTCAAACGCCCGACCGTACACTGAAAGAATCAGACAGAGTAACAGAGTCTGAAGTACTTAGTGTTAATGTACCACCATTAAAGCTTAGCAAGGACACATTGCAGGAAACAAAGAGAACATTCTGTGCCAAAAGGAGTTTAGCTTTGGAAGGCCATTTACCTGCCTTCAGCTGATCCTGGAATTCATTTTAGCATAAAGTGTGGAGTGTTAATTTGGTCTCCTATCTCTCACATTGCAACGGTGTTACTGTAGGGATTATTACAACAATGATCATGTGAGTAGTTTAGAACTTCATAAAGCATTATTTTTTATTATTGCAAATCAGCAATACTAACTACATGTATTAGGGAAGTGTAATAGTTATTTGTAACATAACACCTACAAGATCTGCTTCATCCCACTATTTACCACAAAGATTTTTAATTCAAAGGTTTTAAATGTAAAGGTTTTATCGTCATGTGCACAATAGATACAGAGTAGTTGTAGTGGAGAGTTACGGTTAAACTCTGGGTTGGCACTAGTTTTGTGTTTATTACTAGGTTCAGGTGTCGGCCAGAACACTGGTGGCCAAAGATCCAGAATAGAAGAAATTAGGAGCTGAGATGAGGCTTGACTTCCTTTACTGACTTAGAAAGACATACAGGTTGTGCTGAACGTGTTGGGGGGCATGTCTCTTCTGCCTGGGGCCCCCAGAGTGTCTTGCAGCGCCACTGTGCACACATAAACAAAATATATAATGTCACTAAACCCTATAGAGATAATAAGACACATATAACATGTCTCCCTTCCCCTATAATAGTAAACACATTAACACATCATGTCAAACACTCAGTAGCCTACAAGTGACACACAGAGATCCGAAGTGAAGCTACCGCTAATGCTAACGCTCCACTTCCTGTCCGTGGGTAAAGCGGCAGCCGATGCTCTTATTGTGAAACGCTACAGACATGCTACTTCTGGTAGCCAGGTTAGCGGAGCCATAATTGAACAGTAAACACTAAACCAGTGGCGGCTGGTGCATTTTTCTCCAGCGGGGGGCTCTACCAAAATGTAAGCAAACTTATACACAAAACCAAAATATGTCATATTACAACGCAGGGCTAGCTCAAAGGCACACAGCACTTGATACAGTCTATTAATTTAGTGCCTGTTTCTGTCAACATCCTTATTATGCTTACAGATCCC